AAACATATAACGCAATGAACAAATTGTGAACAGGGAAGCAGTATTTTTTGTTGTTTGAAGTTATCGCTCCTAAAATTTTAAATTACATTCATTTTTTTGCAAAAATAAACAAATTTGCCAAATCCAATTTAAAGTAAAAAGATCAAGAATAAACATTTTATAATTTCTTTTCTACTAACAGTAAGAATCTTGTCTTTATTCTGGAATAAGTATTTTTTCCATTAATTTTATTGTAAAAAACTTTGAAACATCTATGTATTATGCATTTATATTAGTTTTTTTCACATGGACTAATAATAAATGAGTCAGACAGTCAAAAAAAAAAAGAGAGAGGGAGATAGTGGAGAGAGAGAGAGGGGGGGGAAGTGAATGAGGAGTGGGAGGAGAGAGATGTGAGAGAGAGGAGAGAGTGGGGGAGAGAGGAGAAAGAGGGGAAGGAGAGAGAGAGAGGGATGAGGGAGATAAGAGTGAGAGAGAGGAGAGAGATGTGAGGGGGAGAGAGAGTGGGGGAGAGGGAGAGAAGTTGGGGAGAGAAGGCGAGGAAGGAGGGAGAGAAAGTGGGGAGAGAGAGGGAGTGGGGAGGGGAGAGAGAGGAATAGGGGGAGATTTGGAGAGGGAGGGAGAAGGATAAAAGATATTACTGTGTATACACTGTGTTTAACACCTCTTTCTTTGTAAAAAGCCTCATTTTGTGAAGGCTTTGTTGAACTAGCAAACAACAAAAGACACTGTTAAAGGTTTTGAGCTAATCACGTTTTTTGCCCCTGATTTCGAAGGTCAGAAGCATATCGATTCAGTCCTGTGTGATATTTTTAACATTTATATATTTCACATATTTTAATCTTCCCTATATTTTTATGAGAAGAAGTTTAAGACTTCATTCATAGAAATTAAAAGATAATTATGAGATGAAATTTTCTTAACAATCGCTATTTTTAAAACTAATTGGGAAGAGTTTTAAAACGTTAATCTAATGAAGAAAGAAGACTTTATTTTGATTTTTTGCACATTTAGATAATTAAAACTGTGGAACCTGAAAATTTTTAAGTTATTATTATTAAGGTATTTAATCCCTAACAGCAAAAGATTCAATGAAATCGAATACATATCAGATGTGTAGGTATTGAATACTCAGTATATTTAGCCATAATTCCCATTTATTACTATAAGCATGGAAGGATGGGATCTGTCCTAATTTATGATCTTGAATTTTGGAAAGAGTTATCTGTTTTTAATTAATAAAAAAATTAATCTTAAAAACTTGTCTGGTAAAAAAAAAAGTTTTCAATTGTCATTCTATTTCTAATGTTTAATGCATCTTTCTACCACAATATTTATTGATATTATTATTTGAATTTTTAAAAAAAATTTCTTGTCCCCATAGACTTCAAAGCAATTTTGTTAATTAACTACTGCTTAGTAAATTACATTTTTGAAACTTTCTCTTGGTAAATCCTTTTGTACTATAAAATGCTTTAAATTAATATCAAAGTATTATGTACATGATGAATAATTAAGGATAGAGAATTTGGTCCTATTAATTAGGGATGGAAAACCTTATATGTGATAAAAGAATTCAAAGAAAGCGTGTATTCTTGTTCTAATAGTCAAAGAACATCATTATAGCCTTATTATGTTTTCCTTTAAGGAGGCTGGGGGGTCAACAAATTAACCACCAGATTTAACTTAATTTTTTAGATATGATATCTTAAGCTGTCAACTATCATTTGGCAAAGAAAAATTTCAAAAATTTTAGTTTTAAAATTTGATCATTTTCTACATCTTCATATGGAGCTCTTCTTCTAAAGGAGATCAATATAGTCTAAAAATGGCCACAACCCCCCAGCCTCTTTAAATTGGATAAGCCACCTTGTGTTATTTATGTAAAGTATAGTAATACCTTTTAATTTTGTTATTTAAACTTTAAAGCTTTTAGAAATGACCACTTTGTGATTGTAATAACCCCTATGTATTTGCCTAACAAAAAATTTCTTTATAAACCATATTTTATCAAAAAATGACAGAGGGTCATTCTACTGTGTCATTTTTCTACAATCCACACGGAAACAATGACCCAAAGGCCATAATTTCTACGAAAACGTGGGTCATTTTTCTACGTAGAATATTGACCAGGGGGAGTCTAATTTCTAGACAGAAAAATGATCCCCGGTTAATATTCTACGGGGGTCACTTTTTTTCGTTACATCGGGTTCAAATCCCGGACCATAATTTTTTTTTTTATTTACTAAATGATAGTATTCAACATGTGAAATGAAAAAGTTCTTACGTTTGGCGTGTACAAACTCCTAAAATCATTATTAGAGTGTGATAAATATTTTATATAAAAAGATTCTTCTATACACATATTAAAGAAAAAGCAATCAAATATTTATAACCATATTGGCATTTTCCCCCCTTTTGTATACATGTATACATTTAAAAATTCTACAAATCCAGGGGGGGGGTCCCGATCCCCCCTCCCCCGAACTGTGCATGCTCTTCTTTTTTCCCTAAGCGGGGGACACAAATTCTCTGAATTAGCTTGTTTCTTCTTGTGGTGCGATTACAACTACCAAGCATCTTCTTATACACTTATTATTTTCTTAAAGCAATATGAGCTGCAATTTTGATGTCCAAATTCTTGTTGTTGCAATATTGTACTTAACTATTTCAATAACAGAAAAAGTGAACGTTTATAAACTTATGTTGTTAATTTTTGCGATGGAAGTACTATTTATAAGCTTTGGTTGAAGTAAAATTACATTATTGTCATTCTGTACAATATTGATTTTTTTATATAATACTATATATTGCACAGTATAGAAATCTTTCTTCTGAAACAATTTAAAACTTTATTATAGTCTAACTGATCATGAAAGTTTGTCACATACAGATTTATCATAACAGCACATTTTAACAGAAAATAAATTTTTCAAAATGCAGCTCGTTGCTTTAAAGAATAGACGAATCCACACTGAGAATCCCCCTCCCCCAATAAGTGTTGACATACTACTTTGTTGTTTCAAATTCCTTCGGAAATAGGAAAATACAAATGTTTTCTTATTGTTTAAAGTTTTTCAGGTTGAAAAGAACATTTTATCAGGGAAAATCTAATTATAGTATGTGATCTCTTAAGGATGCTTCTGCTATCTGAGAGACTTGTTTTTTTTTTATCCCAAGTCCAGTCTGACTGGACACAATGTAAAAAAGCATTTCCTTTCGTGATTTTCACTTTGTTGGATTTATACTAAACAGTGGGGTGCTTTATGCTTTTTTATGCCCCCGTGTCGAAGATTCGGGGGTATATAGTTTTTGCCTTGTCTGGCTGTTTGTGTGTCAGTCTGTTTGTCCGCAAAAAATTATTATTGCCCGTAGTTTTTGATTGTTGGAGCTATGGCTTTCATATTTCACATGTGTATTGCTTGAGACAAGACCTTTCTTTGGATACTATCATATTTGACCTTGATCTTTGAGTTTGACCCATTTTTGCAAAATTTTATCCAACTTCAACATTGGCCGTAACTTACGAACAGTTGGTGCTAAGGTTTTCATACTTCACACGTGTAGTCCTTGTGACAAGACCTTCCTTTGGATACCAACAACTTTGACCCTTTCACCTTGACCTAGGAGTTTGACCTACTTAAATTTTGGAAAACTTTAACCTTGGCTTTAACTTTTGAACGGAGAGTGCTTGGATACCATCAACTTTGACCTTGACCTTGGAGTTTGACCTTCTTTAGGAAAACTTTAACCTTGGCCATAACGTTTGAACAGTTGGTGCTAGGGCTTTCATATTTAACATGTTTATTCCTTGTGAAAAGAGCTTCCTTTGTAATCCATTGACCTTGACCTAGGAGTTTTACCTACTTTTGAAAAACTTTAACATTGGTCATAACTTTTGATCGATTGGAGCTACGGCCGTCATATTTCACATGCGCTATTGAAAAACTTTAATCTTTTCCATATCTATTCAATGGTTGCTGCTAGGGTTTTCATATTTTACAGGTATATTTCTCGAGACAACATTTGCTATAAGTTGCCATACGGGGGCATCAGTGTTTCACAAACACATCTTGTTCGACTTGTTTTCCAACTTTATTATAATATTGTTATCTTTCATTGTTCTAAAATGAAGTTTTTTTTATTAGATTGGTTGATTGATTAAATTCTTTAACGCCGTGTCGGCAGTATTTCGGCCATATATTGGGAATTTTTCGATTAGAGAAGAGAAAATATATCGTTATCCCTCATCCCGAAGTAAGGAGTTCATCCTTACGTCGCGGGTTCGAATCCCACTGTGGGACGTGGAGACTGGTCCTTCGGATTAGACCGTATAAACCGAGGTCCCGTGTCGCAGTAGGTGCTGGCACGAAAAAGATCCCTCACTGTTCAATGGTCGTAAGTGCCGAGTATAGGACAAAATTTGCAGCTCTCCACCGGCAAGTGGTGGCGTCTCCATATGAGTGAAACATTCTCGAGAGGGACGTTAAACAACATACAAACCAATTCCTCCACGAGAACTTCAACAAACCCCACAAGTGGTTTCATAGAAAATGACGAGCTTAAATAGAAAATTTCGAATTTGAAAAAAGGGACGTTTGTCAAAATGTTCTTTTTTTTTTCATTCATTTATTAGAACTCAGTGACCCGCTATTATGCGTATTCTAAATAGACCATCATGTACAATTGCACATCATTTAAAATGAAAATACGGTTAATATAAAAATAATCTATAAAGATCTCAGTATTCACTCTTTTTGAAATCAACGACCTCATTGTCCGGGTATTGGAAGACTAATCAAACATATACAAAATCGAACAAAATTCTCGGATTTGTTTTTTTAAACCTGAGTATTCATGAAATAATTTCCTCGAAATGTCAGAAATAGAAACCTTACATCTAAGGGCCATATCCTGTATGGACGCATAGGAAATTAATCCGGTGTTGGAAATAGGGAAGTACAATAATGTGATTTTTATACCAACAAATCACACATTAACTTGATTATTAAAATGTTGGTCGTTATAAATAAGTTGTGGATTATTTCTCTATTGATCAGCCTGTTAGACGGTATATATAATTTACATCTTAATTCTTAGTAACTTTGTGAATAGTAACTGAAATAGATAATTGTTTCTATATAAGGTTAAGACAACATTTTATTGACGTGGAATTTATTATTATTATTTTGATCGGCCAATACTTATTTGAGATAAACTAGCAAATATACTAGTATACTACTACCTGATGTTGTAGAGCAATTCTAGCTGTAAAATTGGTGATAGAAGTTCAATAATTAGTTGTCATCAACATTTTTATTGCTTTCATACAAAGTTAAACTCGAAAGAAGCAGTTGCCAAATTGTTGATTGAACTCGCATTTCAATTCAATGCTAATTTTGTTGTGAACCAAGAATATTTATCATACGTAGCATGTGTGAAGAAAATTATCGAATTTTAAAGTAGATAACACTATAGTGTCATGTTAGGTTGTTATGTTTTATTCTTCGTCAACTTCAAAATGTTAAAGAATATCTTTGAAAATGATATTGCTAAACTTGCAGTCAAACATGTAATATTGGTACACATTATTAAAGGCATTGGCAAGGCTCCTGACTTTAGTATAGACATTTTACAGAACTCTTGAGCAGATGCATTGATACTAAACATGTTATATTCTGGAAAGTTTAACACATGAGGCCACCCTTTCTTTGTTGATTTTGTCAAATCAGTGTTTCTTATATGCCCCCGTAATCGAAGATTTGGACTAGGGTAATGCATTTTACCCTAGTCCGTTTCTACACAGTGTGTTACATTTTTTTCTCCGGAAAACCTTGCCAATGTCCTTAAATTATCATTGTAGTTCCTTCAGAATTATTGACTTTTTAAAATACATTGTAGTGTATATTTTTCTGGTACCTGTAGGTATTTTTGAAAATCACTTGCTATGAAAACATCTTTCTGACAGCTCATTTAATGTCAAACATAAGAATAATTTTCATACATTAAACAAATAAATATGTTAATTACTGGATACATGTGCTAGGAATCAGTTGTTTAGATGTGGAAGTTCAAGAACCCGAAATGAACCCGAAATGGCCTTCCATAATAACCATCATAAATTCATTAATGATGACAAAGTCCCTTTTTACAAAAAAGTAGTCTGATAGGAAAATGATAATAAACGATACATGTCGTTCTTGTATGTTGTAAAGCATATTACCCAAAGAATTCAATAACAAAGAAACCCTAAGATTACACTGCATTCTTAGCTGAAACAATTTAGACGAGACAATTAAACATTTTATACACGTCACTGTCTTATACATGTATGTGGCATAAAAAAATAGAGTGTTCAGAGGAACCCATGTGTCGCCTGCTAAAACATAATTTAAATATAATCAATCTTTTAATTGCAAATTAGCATTACAGTTCAAACAAAGAAAATAAACACTCACGGATAGAGAGACTACTGCGTGATCAAAAAAAAAAACACTCGCGGAGAGAAAAACTATCATAACATATTAATTACAAACAAATAAAAAATAAAATAATGCCTTAACCCCGAAGACTAAAACGAATAATTAAATTGAAATCCGCAAAATAATCATTTATACATATGTGTTTAATTCAACAACCCCTTGGATTCTACTGTCAGCCCACAGCATTGCTTGAAACTACAAACTAAAGTCGGTATACCTATCCCGATTCATTTTGAAAAGTATTTCAATTTAATATTTAAATCAAATAATTCAAATTAAACTTTAAAAAAAACTATTGTATCATAAATATATATCGTTCAATATGAAAGTAACATCATGAGGTCAAAGAACATGTAATAAATGCTAGGTATCATAGTCCTACCTCTAAAAATTCAAAAGACGCAAGTAACGATATTCTGTAAAAGTAGATCAAAGGTCAAGGTCAAAAGGACTACAACGCTGTTGTTTTTCAAATTGTCTTTGACAAGCAATTCTCATGCTAAATAGCACAAAAGTCAAAGAATATTGTTTTTGTTTGTTTATTTATTGTTTAACGTCCCTCTCGAGAATTTTTCACTCATATGGAGACGCCACCACTTGCCGGTGGAGAGCTACAAATTTTGACTTATACTCGGCACTCAGGGCCATTGAGCAGTGAGGGATCTTTTTCGTGCCAGCACCTACTACGACAAGGGACCTCGGTTTATACGGTCTCATCCAAAGGCCCGGTCTCCACGTCCCACAATGGGAAAGAATATTGTGTATATCAGCAATAAGAAATATATTGAAAAGTACGTCAAAGGTCAAGTTCAAAGGTTACGAGGTCAATAACCCTGATATTTAAGAAAAACCATTGTTCAAAGCAATATTTGTCTAAAATATCAAACCCTTCCTCTAACGGTCCTCGATATATAAGGTGCGACAGGTGTGACATACAGACAGACGCCGGACTTTCTCTGCAGGCGACAAATGATGCTTATGAGCCTCTCTCCTTCTAGTCACTAACACTATATGTATAAGATCTGACTCAAGCAAGATTTTTTTTTACACACATGTAAGGATATATCCGTCGTTCTCGTAATGAATTTACAATTTGTCAATCAAACTAATATTACACGTATATAGTAACAAATATTCTTCCTACAACCATTTTCCCTAGAAATTTCTCAATTCAGCGATTCGTATATAATTTTACAATTATAGCCAGAAATAGACAACTAGACATAATCCTGGGCCTTGATGCGTCTAAAAACACCAAGAATGAAGAGGATTTTAATTTTCAACGCGAGTTTTTCAAAGCAGTGACAGAGACCATTTATGACCAAAAGGATGTTAGTATACGTGTAGGAGTGTTTGCTTACGATGACACTATAAGGCTTTATCCAAAGACCAGGATTTGGTCGGATCAAAATAGTACCAAAACAGAGGTGATAGAGAACATAGAAAGTCTAAACTACACAAATGGAAATGACAATCCGTACTTAGATCATGCTCTTCGTTTTGTTTTGGCCATTTTTGATGATGACAGGGCTGAAAATAGAGAAAGAGAATGTAGCGAAAAAGTATTGGTAATGGTGGTCACAGATCAAATAAAAAAATGGAGCGATGGATCAAAAGAATTGGTCAGACTGAAGGAAATGGGGGTTAAGCCATTCTTTATTGCAGTCGGAAACAAAGGCAGGGAAATTAACCTAATTAAAACAGAGAAATACTCATTTTTTACCTCCTTCAAAGAATTGAATTCGCCCAACAACTCTAAGAACTCTTCGGATTTCATAGAAAGAACACTCACTGAAAGTAAGGGAGCCGACTTAATTAGGACGAATTATAGTAAATTATAGAGGGGGAGGGCTGAATGTATTTTGAATGATAACATGCAAAAGCATATGTAAGGCCCTTTACTTTTCATTCTTTTAAGTAAAAAAATGATCATGCAAATATCGTTTGAAATGATAAATAATAAAATAATGATGATATAAAGTGATTAAATAATTATATGTTTCATAAAAATAAATACATCATTTTAATTTAAATTCAAGAGCTTAATTGAAGCATTATGTTTTGGAAAATATTATCAAATGGCTAAAGAGACTTAAAATGACTTGAATGAATTGATATGCAGAACAGATCGTATAAAAATTAATGCTTTTGCCAAAAAAAGTTTCATTGTAATGGTTTTGTATTGTTTTTAGGGATAGGATCCTGCTGTTCATCAACAATCCCGGGAGGTCAGCTAACAGATCCCAAGTGTTCTAAACACATGGGAAATAAATGTAACGTTTCCTGCGATCGCTTTCTAGATACCCAGTTAGTAGTTCAAGGAACTTGCGAGACCAACGGTGTTTGGAGGCATGGTGGACGGGTAATTTGTAAAGGTTATCACATTAATCTTCATTTTATGTCACATGGTCTGTAACTTTGAACGAACAACATGTAGCACACAATATTTGCCATAACGACAAATCTTACAAAATTGATTTTTTTTTTTTTTGACGTAACCATCTTTAAAATGATATAATACCATTATTGTGTATAACAAGTATATATATATTTAAAAAAAAAAGCTTTCCGTCTTTAGCAACAACCTTAAACAGTAAACTGAAATTCAAATACGAGGTCATATTATTTATGAATAGTTCTTGGCTTTGTATTTCTTCAACAGATTTTACAGACATTAGCCCTACCATATAAAAGGACGTGCAAAATAATGTTAGAATACAAAGAATAAACTCAAATTTTGATGTTTGCATTCAATCTCTGTTAACCATGAATATAAACACTTTTTAATAGTTGCTTTGAAAAAAAAATGAAGTATCAATATTTCATTCACTGCAATTTTCTTTTGTTGATTTTGCCATTTTTTTTTTAAAGATTGGAAATCTACAAAAATTAGATCACTTAGAAAATTATCTCCCTTGCCTTAAACAGTATTTCAATTCATGCATTTTCTATCAGTCAAAGGAAAGTGGAAGTGCATAGACCGAAGAATGTAAATTACTCCAACTATGTGTACCGTCTTCCAAAGAAGACGGTAATTATCACGCGAAGTGAAAACACGGTAACACTTTCATTAAAGTGACGTTACAGTGAGGGTACCGACAGGTTATAATGAAATCATAACAATAAAATCAAACCGAGAGCGTCTTTTTGTTAAATTTTAAACATGAAAAATATAAATATACGGATTGTTTTTAGTTTTGTGATTTTTTATGTGTAAAAATCTTGGACTTATTTCATGAAGCGCACTTTTACGCCTTAAAACTGGAGAACAATTCATTAACATTATTTCCTCAATAATAAATGTAACGTCTTTTAAAAGCACTTTCATCATTAAGAATCAGTTCATTAGAACTACATGCATAATCGTGAGGTTTGGGTCTTATAGTGATGGTATAAATTGAGAGGAGGGAGTGTTGGGTGTTGGAGGAATGTCAAATTGTAAATTCTGAATTTACCAAGAGGCAGTAAATACAAAATTTACATTAAGACAGTTTGATATGATGTGAGTCATGAGCAACAGCGCTGTATTTTTTTTTATACAATCCTTCAGAAAACATGCATTTGTGAATATGGTTTCAAAAATTATTTTAAAAAGTCGATGACAATATATAATAATGGGCATATAGAGGCAAATGAAAAGAGACACAGATGGACAATAAATTCGGTCTCCAACTGCTTATAAGAAAATTTACCTAAATATTCAAGAGTATCTTTAGTAAAACCTAAATAAACCGAGTCTAAAATGATAGTTGTAAAGTCAGTTACAAAATCCCTGCTTTTGATCAGAACCTTTTTTTATTTAACATTTGAATAGTGCCGTGCAGCGGTTTCTTTCGCGGGTGCAAAACTTGGCGTTTTGTTTGTTCAAAGGTATGCCAATAATTTTGGCGGAACTTATTTTGGCGGACACTGGGTCCTATGAAGTTGCAAACGGGAAGAAATTCATCAAGATAAGTTTTAGCAAGTTTAATGTACGTTTGAATACCGATTAAGATAAATCTGAGTAAAAGCAAATACCAGATGAAATATATATATTATTTAACAAAAGACTGATCAAAGTTATAAGCTCACCAGAGCTGAAAGCTCAAGTGAGCTTTTCTGATCACCAGTTGTCCATCCGTCCGTCTGTAAACTTTTCACACTTTCAACTTCTTCTCAAGAACCACTGAGCCAATTTTAACCGAAGTTGGCACAGGGCATCATTGGGTAAAGGGGAGTTTAAATTGTTGAAATCAAGGGCAAACCCCTTACAGGGGGAGACAATCAAGAAAAACAAAAATAGGGTGAGGTCATTGAAAAACCATTCTTCTTCTCAAGAACCAATGGACCAAGAAAGCCGACTTATGTGGAAGCTTCCTTGGGAAGTGTAGATTCTAATAGTTCAAATCATGGCCTCCGGGGGCAGGGTGGGGCCACAATAGGAAATCTAAGTTTTACACTGAGATAACAAAATCTTTAAAACTCTTCTCAAGAACCACTGGGTCAGAAAAGCTGAAACTTACGTGGAAGCTTTCTTGGGTAGTGTAGATTCTAAATTGTTCAAATCATGGCCTCCGGGGGTAGGGTGGGGCCACAATAAGTATTACAAGGGGGATCTGGTGAAGAACAGCAGAGCCCAAGTAACTCAGGTGAGCGTCGTGGCCTATGGGTCTGTTCTTTTTCTAGCATTCAGTACTTATAAGCAAGGATGTTAAATAAGCGATTAAAATTTTAGCGTGTTACTTCAAAACCGCTCGTCGCCCGCGTGGCGCATTGGTTAGAGCGTCTGCTCTAGAGTCGCGGAGTAAGAAGTTGATCCTCACGTCGCGGGTTCGAATCCCACTGCGGGACGTGGAGACCGGTTTTTCGGATGATACCGTATAAACTGGGGTCCCGTTTCGCAGTAGGTATTTCCCTCACTGCTCAATGACCCTGAGTGCCGAGTATAGGTCAAAATTTGTAGCCTTCCACCGGCAAGTGGTGGCGTCTCCATACGAGTGATAAATTCTCGAGAGGGGCGTTAAACAGCCAATCAAAACCGCTAAAATGAGCCAAAGTTAGCATCCCGCTAAAATGCCTGCTATACGGTTCTAAACTCCTCACTCTCTCTCATTTGCAGTTTTTAAACAATTTTCCAGAAATGGTTATTTAGAAATAAAGTGATGAATTTCAAATTACTTATACAAATAAAATACTGTATGATATAAAACTTACAATGAATCCCAAAAATCAACACAGAAGCCAATTTTGGACCAATTAAATATTCCTGAATTCAATAAAACAAATTTGTAAAATATTTTTTTTTTAATTCGGTATAATGAACAATTTTTTTTTAAATTATAACGGATTTGTTTAATTCGTTATAACGAATTCAAAAAATTGTTTATTTAATAACAGATTAATTCTTTTCAACGAATTCCAAGATTTGTTAAAAAGAATTAAATTCGTTAAATCGAATTCTTAAATATGTTGTAATGAATTGAATTCGTTAATGGGAATTTGATATTTAAGGCCTAATAGAAAAATAGTTTTGATTTCGATGTAACGAATTATCGAACTCATTTAAGGAAATTTATTAAAATATTTTAAGAATTAGTTTAAATGAATTCAACAAATTTGTTAGAAAAGGTTTAATTCGTTAGAACGAATAAAAAGAAATGATATAATGAATTCGTTTCAACAAATTTGATAATTCGTTATTCGAATTCAAAATTATTCTTTGATAGATATTAAATGGGCTTCCGTAAATTAATTTATGAAATATTGGATAAATGTTTGATACCTCATATGCTGTCAACATTAAATTAAATCTATTTCAGTCTCTTTTATTCCATTAAATAGAATTTGAAGTCCATCCAGTGTCCGTTTTGATTGGTGCTTTTTCGGCGTTGGTGGCCTTCGTACTACTGACACTGTTAGTAGTATATCTCTGCAAACGGAAATGGTACGTCTCTCTCTCTCTCTCTCTCTGAGACTTAAGGTTCATAAACCCTCTGCTCACTCATATAAAATGTTTCTTTAACGCTTATGATTTTCCAAAAGAAAAGTCGTTTTTAAGTAAAATACAAACAATTAAATCATAGCTTGCGGGGCAAAAATTGGACAAAAAAGACACTTCAACTTGACAAGATTATAAAGGAATAATAGACATATATGCCATTAAGAGTTATCTCTCTTATCAGAGTAAGACGAACCTTAATACATTATTGAAGAATGCATCCGATTTAAGTCTACCTTTCATTCCTTTTATATAAGTTTATTAAGTTACTAGTATTTTGCAATATTTCAATCAAAACAAAACAAAACTAAATAGTTGACAAACCATATCCAAATACATTGCACTTGAGTTCAGCGGTTGTTATGTTTTAATATTATGTGTGGGTCCTTGAAATCTTTCACTCATATCTACATTTTTGGACCAAACTTATTCAATAAAGTTTTACTAAAAAATTATATCCATTGTGACATGAAAAATCGTGATGATATCTTCATACACTATTGTATAGTTTTGTAAATATATATAAAATGTGATAATTTTCACCCTTTCACATTTGCAAACAAGTTAGCCCCGTATTATAAAATTATGCGTTTTGGTTAAAATGAAAAAGATGAAGATAACAAACAGTAAGTGATCTAAAAAAAGAAAATCCACAAACAAAACAAATTTGTGAACAGGGCATAAAACAAGGATCCCCAGAAATTTAAGAGGTGGTATCAGGTGCTTAGGAGGAGTAAACATCCCCTGTCGACCGATCACACCCACCGCGAGCCCTAAGGGAAAATAAATACTCCTTTTACTGGACCCCGTGGGAGCTTCAGGAGGTCCCAGACCTAATGTTAACATGTCTTTATCAAACAGCTCATTTATATTCATTGTTAGCATTCCTATCAAAAGCCGTGTGACTGTGGTTTGTAAAATCGATGTAAAGATAAGTTAATCTTTTTTTTTTACTCTCTCCCCCATTTCCGCGTCTAATAAACCTTCAAATATTCATGTAAATGCACCCATTGAAAGATTTGTCAATTTATTGTACTTAAGCCTGCTAAATATATTTGCCAAATCAATAATCAGAGTTTTGGCATAGTCTTATTGTTAACCAAAAGAAGCTCTTTTTCGGCATACTATTTTTAACCTTTTCTCACAATGAAAATAAAAGGACATGAAACTCATACACTATCTTTTTCAATCTGTTTAATAGGGAAAACAAAAAGAAGGCTGACATACCTTCGGCGGTGCAGTCACCAACTCAGCGTTCTGTACGGAACCAGTATTCCGCCTCTACAGCAAAATCTTCATCAAAAGACAGGGAATCAGCGTCATCTGATGATTTGGAAATTGATGACGACGACGAGGAAGAAGCACAGGTGTACGATTACGCTCAAGAGGAGAGCTTAATGTCTCTATCTAAACGCCCCAAAACAAAAAAGAAGAAACCCCAAGTCAATCATGATATACAATTCCTCAAAATAAATGAAATTCCAGAGCAAAATCACAATATATCGTATCCAGGAGAGGTCTATCAAAATACAGAATTTGGTGGTTGTCGTCTGCTGAACATGTCCACAAAATCAAATGCCCCGCCACCATGCTGTGGACCGAGTGGATACGTGGAGTATGAGGGTGAGGAAATTTATCAGAATAATGAGAATGGACACGAGGAGGAACAGGAGGTGTATGTTAACACTACTTTCTGATCTCAGTCAAGCTAAACCTGCCTCATTTAGTTGTATGTGTATCCTTTGGAGAAAAAAAAGAATTTTTATTAATGAAATATGTTATTTTATTTCAGTCAAGCTAAACAAATGCTAATTTAATTGCACGAGTACTTTTATTTCTGTTTAGGATTAAAAAAAATAATAATAAAACATGTGCTTTAATTTGAATCAAGATAAAAATGGCTCATTTAGTTGTATGGATACTTCAATTCCCTGTGTACGAAAAAAGGAGAATATTTTTTTTTTGTATGAAACGAGTACACATCACCAATTGGGGTTCTCTTCTGGTGATTTTATGTATATCTATTGTGAAGTCCATAACACACTGTCCATATAATATATTCGCCTACAAGATAAACTTAAATTAAGAATTCAGTATTTGTAGGACCTAATTTGTGCAAGATTATTAAATGTGTATCATATATAAATATATTTTTTAAAACATGTTCTACTGTGGTTTAATACTGCTCTTTGTTTTAATTGATTCAAAATGTAAAAGTGTATCAATTTCGACAGTTAAAAGTGGTACTGTACATATTCCAGATAACCTTGAAATCATTACATGTACAACAAGCATTCTGAGAGTATTGCATTAGCAATACTAGTCCCCTACCGGCAAGTGTAATCTGATTCCCGCTAAAAATTGAAAATGCCATAATTCCGTCAAAAATCAATGAAGCGGGACGAAATGCAAACTTGATCTATAACTAATCAAGGTTAAGTCACATACCAAAGAACATCTCAATATCTGAAAGCGTTTAGAAGAAAATTGCGGAAAACCCCTAAAAATTGAAAAGGCCGTAATTCCGTCAAAAATCAATGAAGCGGAACGAAATCCAAACTTCAAGATACACTCACATACCAAAAATCAGCTCAATATCTGCAAGCGTTTAGGAAAAAGTGCGGAAAACCAAGTGGGACAGACAGACAGACAGACGGACAGACAGACGGACGGACAGATTCAGAGGAAACCTATAGTCCCCTCCGGTTTCACCGGTAGGGGACTAATAAGAAGTTTAAAAAATAAAATGATTAACAGGCAAAGTAATAAGTTGAAAAAATGGACTTTATCTTGAGAATTCAAGATATCAAGAATTGTTATTTAACAAATTCATACCAAAACTTTTGTTGTTTCACGGGGGGGGGGGGGGGGGGGGGCATATATTTACAGACAAAAAACGACAAAAATGTTTATTTTTTCACCAATTTCAATGGGGTTTACAACTAAAACATAATATTTTATCAATTATATATATTTATTTTATAGCCTATGCGTAACATAAAAGATTTAATTATCATTTATCCATATCCAAGAATATTTTAAAATATGGTGATGCTTTAAAGTCCGATTTCAATGTAAAACATCGCATACCTTCCATATAAAAAGAGTTAGAATTAAAAGCAATTAAGTAACTATTTAACATGGGTATTAAAATTATTAATCAGTTACCACTGAACGCCTCTTTGCATTCAACAAAGATTTTGCGGCCAAATTGCCTTTAGTATTGATAACAAGAGGCTCAGGGGCCACATCGCTCACATGAGCACTGTGTCTAGGAAAAACGCAAAAATCAGTTTAGTATTGAAAATCTTAAATGCATAAGTGGTCCCGACCTACCCATAAAAGGGAGTGGGGGTTATGATTTGAACAAAATTGAATCTACACTAACTAAGGATGCTTACATATTTTTTTTTTTGACTGACTTTTTTCCCTACAAGTTTGAACTTTCATTGTGGCCCCACCCTACCCCTGGTATGATTTGAACATATTTGAATCTACACGATCTGAGGATGATTCCATATGAATATGACCAACCATGGCTTTGTTGTTCTTGAGAAAAAAATTTGAACAAAGTTTAATCTTCACCACCTGAGGATGCTTCCATTTAAATATGACCTTATCATAGCTTTGCTGTACTTTAGAAGATTTTTCTTATATACTCTTATGTTAAACTTTGATCGTCCATTTTGGCCCCACCCTACCCCCGGGGTCATGATTTGAACAGACTTGAATCTACACCACCTGATGATGCATCCATATAAATATGACCAATCATAGTTTGTTGTTCTTGAGAAGAAGAATTTTCCTATATACTCCTTTGTTAAACTTCCCCTGATCACTGATCACCCATTGTGGCTCCACCCTACCCCCGGAAATCATGGCTTTGCTGTTCTTGAGAAGATTTTTGAAGTATTTTCCTACATATTCCTATGTTAAACTTTTATCGTCCATTGTGGCCCCATCCTACCCCTGGGGGTCATGATTTGAACAAACTTAAATGTACACCACCTGAGGATGATTTTACAAAAACAATACCAATCATTGTTTAGCTATTCCTGAGAAGATTTTTAAAGATTTTCCCTATGCATTCCTATGTAAAACTTTGATCGTCCCTTGTGGCCCATCCTACCCAAGCAGGCCATGATTTGAATAAAATTGAATCTACACTACCTGACAATGATTCCACATGAGTTTCATCTTTCCTGGCCCATTGGTTCTTGAGAAGAAGATTTTTCAATGATGCCATTAACTTTCGCTATTTCTGCCCTTGGAGGAGGGCGGGGCCCTTCATTTGAACAAACTTGAATCCCCTTTACCCAAGGATACTCTGTGCCAAGTTTGGTTGAAATTGGCCCTGTAGTTCTCGAGAAGAAGATGACAACGTGAAAAGTTTACAACAACGCCAATGACAGACAGCGGACAAATTTCGATCAGAAAAGCTCACTTGAGCTTTCGGCTCAGGTGAGCTAAAAATGGGTGTAAAATGTAGGCGGGATTCGAGAGTTAGCATTCATTAAATAATAAGAGAATGTTTCATATGACACATTCTGTTTAGCACCTAACTACCTTTACCACACAGAAGACTTTTATTTGTATATTTATCTGTCTCCTTTTTTCAAACACACATAAACATGTTTAAAAAAGTATAAATCAAATGGAATCATTTATTTCTGTATAGTTGTAAAATTAAAATAAATCTACACATATTTTATAAATTTAAGCTATCCGGAATTTTCAGAAATCTTGAATTTACAATTAAGGATCCTTGATCGAGGATATCTTGAATAAAAATGAATTGTAATTATATGCCCCCTGTGTAGAAATTTTAAAAAAGAATAAACTTTAAATTTAGAACGTCTGTAATGATAGTGAAAAAAATTGAGCGGGCAGTCTATTACTGTGTCCAGAGAAGTTTGACCTTTGACATCATGACCCCCAAATCACTTCTCAATGGGATACCAGTGAACCAAACGATGTTTGTCATGCAATTTAGTTCTAAAGATAAGATTAGCTGTTAACTAATTTATTTTTTTTTGTCCAAAGTAGTTTAATCCTTGACCTTATTACCTTAAAATATATAGGGGTCTTCTACGCTCTAGAGAGAACTAATGTAATAAGTTGATGATTGTCAAGCAAAAAGTTTTCAAGGTAATGAGCGGACAATACCTTATCATGTCCAGAGTAGTTTGATCCTGTGATGTCAAAATCAACAGAGGTCATCTTGTCTTTAAGGGAAACCAGTGTACCAAGTTTGCTGTCAAGTGTTTTCAAGATACTTAGCGGTTAATAAAAATACATGTCAAATTTGATCCTTGGGTTTGTGACCTAAAACGGACAGGGTTCAATTACCCCTTAAAGAACCAATGTACCAAGCTGCATGTCAGTTGAGCAAAGGGTTCTCAAGATACTGAACTGACAATATATTCCTAAACCTTGAGAAGTTTGACCCTTAACCTTGTGACATCAAATTCAATAGGGGTCATCCATTCCGTAAGGGATCATGTTCTAAGTTTGATGCCTATGAAGAAAAGGGTTCTGGCCTGGACTACCTTCAAACCGACATACATGTATCGACTGATCAACAGGTGTAAACCAATATGCTCCCTTTTTTCGGGGGAAGGTATACAAAATAAATAGAACGACTAAACGTATTATTATTATTTTATTTATAACAACAAAATAGAATTTTGTTTTACATGTATGAACGTCAATATTGGTTATTGGAATGTATGAACGTCAATATTGGTTATTGGTATGTATTGTGTCAATTATGCTGAATTTGTTTGGTATTCAATATATATATATATATATCTATCTATCTATCTATCTATCTATCTATCTATCTATCTATCTATCTATCTATCTATCTATCTATTATCTATATATATAATTTATTAAAACTAGATGAAATCCCGCGCATGCGCGGGGAATTGCATTTATACCACTACCGACAGAAAATATATTGTAGTTTCTACTGACAGCCTACAGGCTTACAGCAGGAAGAAATACTTTGTTCAAAATCCGGCATGAAGTAAGATGTACGTCTCCACCCCCACCCCCTTTTTTGTAAAAGCTTGAAAAATAACGATTTCATTAATTGACTTTTATTTAAACCTGTAATACTATGTTATGGATATTGTACTTCAGTTGCTCTTCTTCATTTTCGTCAAGGATAAAAGCAGCGAAATAAGCAAATATGCACATTTTACTGATAAATTGATTTGGGGAGGAGGGGGGGTTAAAAATTCACAGGTACTTGGGTCTTGGTTTATAAATGTGTATGTACCTTATTGATATGTAAAAAAAAATGAACTTTTACTTTTTTTTTTACATATATCAATAAGGTACATACATCTTTATAAACCAAGACCCAAGTACCTGTGTAAAAAAAAAACTTTTTTACGCTCTATGAATAGGCCTAGTATTTGATATAAAAGACTGTATTCAGAAAAAAAACTGAAATGTTTTGATTAAAGCACAAAATTTTGCAGCTTTAATTGTATTTGAACAATTATACCTTATTTATTAATTTTCTCTTTTCATGTAAGCAAGTTTATTACGAAGTACAAATTGTACTTCGGGTTCCTTGCCACGATGCTCCCGGTTACCGATAAGTTTAATAGGAAAACCTACTACATATATGTAATAGTCTTTCGATAGATAAATATATTCACAACATATAGTGTTATCAATTATTTACCATTATTTCAATGGCCATTCAAACAAAAGATTTTTTTATGTTCATGCAGCTGTAATCACCTCGTTTATTTTTTTTCTTTTTAACATCGGGCTCGATGCTATATGATCTTGAAGCTTCCGTCAATATTAAGATTGGTGAATGACGAAAATAATTTGCACATTTCCCTTTTAATCGGTTATCACAACATATTTCTTTTATATCATTTAATTCAAGTTTTGATTGAATGATTCGGTGATGACGTTTTATGAAATAAATAAACGATTGCTTGTTGTCAGTTTCATTAAAAATTGCCAGTAACTTAGATCCGCCAACCGGAAACGCCACCGTACTCACGTTTTTCCTATTTCATGGCTGTTATAGAAAATGAAAGTAGACTTTTAATTTAATGTACGATACTTACTATGGGAGTGAAATCTAAATATAGTTTACGGACATCATTTTGTATACAGTGTATTGTTAGAGGA